GATTAAAGTACAGAAATAAAGGAAAACAGGAAAAGTGAAAGGGTAAAAATAAAAATAAAGTAGAGGAAGTCGGGGGTAATAGGGAGAAAAATTCAAGAGAAAGGAGAAAAAATAAGTGACAGAGATGAAACAAAAACAGAAAAGAGACAGCGGAAATGAATTAAGGGGGAGGAACAGAGAGAAAGTGGGACAGGAAGAATGAAAATAAAACAAGGAAACTGTGAGAGAAGAAAAAGTGAAGAACAGAGAAGGGATGAGAGCAAGGGAGACAGAGAATGAAAGGAGAGAGTGAGTGAAAGAGGGACAGAAACTGAAGGTGAGACGAAGAATAACAATGAAAGAGGTAAAGAATGAAGGTAAAGGAGAAGAAGAGAGTTAGAGAAAAGTCGAGTTGAGAGGCAAGTTGCAGACGCTTGTCCTTAACAATACGAATGCATTAAGGCTGTGGAACTTATTTGTATAATAATTAACTTGGAGACTGTCCTCGACTGCTATCGTAAGTTATCGGGTCATTTGGCGGAATGAAGATACACAATCCATTACTGTGGGACAGCGAGCGAACGAAATCGCGTTGGATGATTTGATAACCAAACCGTGGGTTCTGATGCATCTATAATGAAACGGATTAAAAGTTTGTCAAATAGAAACGGTGGAATGTAAAGTTCGGTGAAATTCAAAGTAACTTCAGCATAGCTTTCATCCATTGAAACTATTTTTAGTGGGAATTGATCAGACTTTTCGTTATTCGACTGTAAACATGAAAAATTGTATTGAAATACTTGAATCGATTAATTACTTTTGGGGGAAAATTTGTATTGTTCTGTAGTTGAGATTGAGGCGTAGATTAAGAGGTTTAAATTATCATACAGTAATTGGTTATTATTCGCTGGTAAACGGAGTTTTAGCGCGTAAAGAGTAAACAAAGGTTTATAGGATCAAAAGTAGATTGAAGTTCATAAGTGTTGATCCTCAAGTGAAGACGCGGCTGAAGAAACGCTGCAAATGGCGGTTTCACGGCCCGGAGCTATCAAAAGCTAATAATGTTCTTTCAACTTACGCTGCCAGTCGAAACTTTGGGAAGAATGTCCGAAAGGAAACTTGAATAATATAAATGATCGTATTCATTTATAAAAACTAGTAAATGAAAAATTATCGCGGCTCTTTTGAAAAATGGTTGCGTTGAGCCGCGAGAAAAGTAATTACAAAACTCTACTTTGTTGGAAATGAACGAGTTTCAAATGGTTGATCAGCGATGTCACTTCTTTAATCGAGGCGAATATTTTGAATTTATTAAACAATTATTTATGAAATGATTATAGAATTGAAAGACATATTTTGAATAATAAAATTCGTAAAAGCTTTGTTTTAAATAGACGATCTCAATAGAAAAATCATCTAGCATTTCACATACTGTAAAATAACTTAATTTTGTTTTAATAGTTTAGTTACCTTATTCCAATAATCTCATTATTGTCTCATTATTTAATCAAATATTAATACCACAATTGCCTAACGAACGAGAATAATAATGCACACATTATTATGAATATGTATATATTCACAGTAAAAATAAATTAGAAAACAATTACGTAGACAGTAAGTTTGTTTCCATAATTTTACAGAATTTAACGTACAAAAAATGTTATATATAATATTAGTTTTTGTATAATGCATGAATATGTGAAATGTTTCTTTAAAATCGCTTTGTTTCTTAATTTACGTATGCTTTTTCATTAGTTCGTTTCAAAGAGTGTCGTCTATGTCTCATCGGAAAGTGTCGAATATTTCTAGTGAGAAGCTTCCGAGTGCAAAGGTTTCATTGATTTACCACTCAGTTTGCATATTACTAAATCAAATTCTTGAATAAATCCTTAGAGAAACGTCTGTCATTTTTTAATAATTGCAAAAGGAAGAAATCAAGAATAAGGTCATTTTGACCAGTCTGATAGTTTTAATGTTAATAATTGCAAAAAGAAGAAACCAGGAATAGGTCACTTTGATCCGCCTGGTAGTTTCAGTGTTAAATTATCTTTAGAGGACTTCCAATACTATGATTACCATGAAAAATCTAGTGTAAAAAACTACGGTGATCCTAATTCTATCAAGGACTAATAACTAAGAAACTGAAATTATAAAGAACAACTACAATTTGAGTGGATTGTTAAGCTGTATAACCGAAAACATGAATCCGAGAAATGGTAATGTCCTGTCAACTGTACCTCATTGTTCTGTTAAAAGTGTCTTGGTTCAACAAAGGCGCTTGTTGCGCTTACGTGAAACGGAGGTTGCCGGTTCTGTCGTGGTCGACGGCTTATAAGCTCGCATGGCTGCCCCAAGACGTGCTCGCTGGCTTCACGGTCGGACTGACCGCCATTCCTCAAGGGATCGCTTACGGTATCGTCGCTGGACTGAATCCCGAGGTAAATATAAGCGGGACAATCGACCAGGATCCACCATCTTGAACCATATTCACTTATCCTATATCGCCTAATACCATTAGTATGGACTCTACTCGTCGTTCATGGCATCTTTCATTTACATCGTCGTTGGATCATGCGAGAGCATCACCATAGGACCAACAGCCATCATGGCGACAATGGTGCAGAGCATGGTAGCTAACTATGGGGCTGACATTGCAGTGCTGATGACGTTCTTGAAAGGATGCATCATTACTGTTCTTGGGCTGCTTCACCTAGGTTTGTTTGCATTGTTAGTTTCTAGGTTAAACAAGTGTTCTGGTGTATAAGCTGCATTCTTGGAGAATACGACTGTGATTGAGAATCTGAATTAGGTGAAATTAGGGTATAAGCTGGACAATTAATTGTAGATGAAGATAAGATGTAGGCCTAATGCAGTAGGGGTTACTTCGAGTAGCAAAGGTTACTTTAATTAAGATTAGATGTAGGTGTAAGTTAGTTGCGAATCAAGATTAGATAGAAGCTTAATCTAGGCCTAACTCATTTGTGAATTGAGATTAGACATAGATTTAAGACAGATATTCTCACTTACGTATCAAAATTAAATTTAGATTTTTCTGACCTAGACCTAAGTCAGCTGTAGTTTGAGATTAGATATGGATATAATCTGTAGAACTGATTACTAAATTAATTTAGTCGGGGTTTAGGTAAACCTAACTCACTTGCATATCAAAATTAAACTTAGACATTTCTGATTCATAGGTAATTCAGAATTAACCTAGTTGTGAATCGAGCATAATGTTGTGAAGCTCACTCGGTTTGCTTGAAATTCATTTAATTAGAGAAGAATTAATAAATAACAAGTTGGCGCTTGTCAAATTCTCCAACAAACTGCAGATGTTTCTGTTCTCTATTTCCAGCTGCTCTAAAGTAATCCATGAAATCTATTTCTCCGCGAATATCCGCAGTGTAGTCACGGGGATTTTCAGTGAAAATTTATTAGGTCACGCGTAATCGAAGGTAACAAATGCCGCATGAATAATTGACCCAAATGCCATTTTGAAGACGGTGGAAGCCATTCTTCATTTCCCCTAAGAAACTCGTCGTTTTTCTGTAAGATTAAGCTCAGGATCCGACCATATTTTTCAAGAAAAGCTCTAGACAAGGAAAAGAAACCTTAAACGAAAATAATTGTAAGAAGTCTGTTTGTAAATGCTTTATTCCTGATTAACAATCGGTTATTCAAGTTCATTGACCGTGTCCAAGACTATACTACTGTCTACAGACGATATGTTTTCACGTCTCCGTCGAACTGAACGAGCAAGTGCGGCAATGGTACACGGAGCACAGTTTGACAAAGTCAGAGAATGAGTATAATGAGAAGAAGTGAGACCGACACAGTCCTCCGAGTATCGAAGGTCAAGATGCGGGACTTCAAAGCGATGCCGCGCGCGTTAAATATAAGCATGCAATAAAGGAAATATGAACTTCATTAATTTCAATCTTACTTTCTCAAACGTGGTGCCAGTGAATTGTTGAGATTGTCGTGATTAAAATAAGTCCAAACATGATGTAAATCGGACTAGTTTTACCGATTTAATGTAATTAACAAAATTAAAGGTTCATTTCCTTAAAATTGATAAAACTAGTCCGATTTACATCGTGTCTGGACTTATTCCAATTACGACAATCTCAACTAACCACTGGCACTACGTTTGAGAAAGTAAGATTGAAATTAATGAAATTAATATTTCGTTTGCTGTCTGCCTTTATTGCGTCTCAACCCTCGATACTCGGAGGTCTGTGTCTGTTTCACTTCTTTTCATTATACTCATTCTCTGATTTTATCAAACTATGCTCCGTGTACTCTTTTGCAGCACTTGTGATCGAACATAGCGTCCTTAGAAACCTATAGATATAAATTAAAATGAAAGAATTTAGTATTTCATAAACTTCCATAAGAAATAATGTCTTTTCCTAGGTTTCCTGCTGGATTTCATCTCTTTGCCAGTAATAACAGGCTTCACTGCTGCCGCGGCCATTAACATAGCTGCTTCACAATTCAAATCGTTGTTAGGAATACCCGGTAGATCTGAAGATTTACTGGATTCCCTGATTTCGGTATTCTCTAACTTGGAGAAGATCAGATATCAGGACACATTACTGGGCATCGTTACTATTGCAATCTTGGTTCTGCTAAAGGTATTTACGCCCACCAGTGGGTTAATGTTTGCCAATTAACATTATTTGCTTGAAGTACCACGTTAAGCAGCTTTGGATCAGTATTTTCAGAAAACATTATCCTTTTTCCTTATTTTGTTCATAACTGTGTTAATTAAAGATACTCTATAATTAGTAATTAATTGTATTTTCTCTTCTCGGTCTCTGTATTTACAAATAATCAATTTTGATACTTATCAATTTTTATTAGAAAAGAAAAAAGACCGTATCTTTTGTAAATCTATATTTGATTTAAATATTAAATATCGAATATCTCTGTGATTTATTTCGACTTCAAACAAACAATTAATTTTGATATCTATGAATCTTTGCCAAAAAGAAAAAGTATCTGTTATATATATTATATAGATACATAGAGTAGGTAAATATTACATAACAAATACATTAAACATATCTCTTATAACCCTTTTGTGTTAAATATTAAATATCGAATGTTGTAATTTATTTCAATTCCAAACAAACAAATGATGTTAATACTTATTAACTTTTGTCAGAGGCAAAAAAGAAATCTGTATTTGTTGTAAATCTACATTCGATTCAAATACTAAATATTGAGTATGTTTACGATTTATTTCAAGTCTAAACAAACAAACAATCATAATATTCTATTACTTAATTTTCTTCAATTTTTCTAACGAATCAGAGATTTGATATCGTAAAGCAAGAGGACAAGGCATGCCGGAGAATCTGGCACTGCGATCATGCATGAGTAGTTATAGAGTATAGAAACTGTTAGATCCTAGAGACTCGCATTGTTCTATCTATTAACTGCTGAAAATTCTGATCGCGTCGTCATAACTACAGTCAGACTGTCTAACATTTCTCTGTTAACATTTGCACAAGAATTTGCCTGGACGACGTACCGGCTCATGGCCTCAAAAGCTTGCATGGATCGTTACATTAGCGCGTAACGCTTTAGTAGTCGTCGCAGGGACTGTGATGGCGTATATATTTTTCGTCAACCACCAAGAACCATTTAAGCTGACTGGTGAGGATACAGTTCATCGGAATTTTTATTTAGATTTTAACTCTTATCACTCCTTGGCTGTCAAACTGCCAAACGCGAGCAAGCGTTTTACTTCAATCGCTAGTCTCACTGCCAAACATCAATACAATGTAGTTTTATATTATTTTACGTAGTTTTATATAGTTTTGTATGGTTTTGTGTAGTTCTGTATAGTTCCATATAGTTTTCTATAGTTTATTATTATTATTTTTCTATATAGTTCTATATAGTTTTCTATAGTTTTCTATAGTTTTCTACAGTTCCCCGTAATTTTATATTATTCCATATAGTTTCACACTATAACAAATACAATTATAGAAATAAAACATGAATTAATTTCTTGTTCGTTGGCACCATTTTATGGTTACTATCCCGCGTTTATAAGTATTCTTATCGACAAATAAATATTTTATAAGTATCATATCATGCCTCTGTTTTTATCTTGATATGGTATTTAATAGAATTTATCTCTAGTTACTAGCAAACATGCTATAATATTCTGGGAGTGATAAGGGTTAAAAATGCCATATAAACATTATTCCTCGACATACATTATCACTTCTTTGCTTTTAGAAACATGTCTTGTTTCTCGTCGATAAAATGAAAGATTGATAATGCGAGAAACCGTTTTTGAATCTTTTAGGGACGATGGGAGAAGGTCTGCCACCGTTCGCGCCACCACCTTTCACGATCAGTGCCAATAATCGCACATACAATTTCTTGGAGACAGTTTCTTCAATGGGGACCACGATTTTCACACTTCCGGTGGTTTCTACGATCGAACACATGGCTATAGCGAAAGCTTTTGGTACGTTGGTAGCAAACGTTTCTAATAATTTGTGCTGAGATAATGATTTTATGTTCATACTGTTCACGAAATTTTTATATTGCTTTTACAAAATTTGTGAAAGCAGCTAAGAATTCTTAAATTCAGGTATACAAGAACTAGATAGACAAATAATCGAAAAGTGAAGTTTTCATTTGAATCAATTGAAGTGAAATGAAATGCAATACACATTGTTCTTTTTCATGTCATATTTATACTAAAAAATTTATTTTAAATAGTGATTTTTAAGGACGTTTCTTAATAAGGATCTCAAATTTATGGAGATTATATTAGATTATGAAGATTATATAAATGGGAATAATTAAGAACATAACCAATGGAAAGATGCATTGTTTTATTAATAATTTTAGAGCGTGTTGAAAGTTTTCAAAGATTTCAAAGTAAAATCACGAGAAACTGCAATCCCTTGCTTGAACAATTCTAGAAGCGAAGTAAAATGATTCAACGGCTATATCAGCAACAGTCAGTTTCTGATCAGCAATTCTTCACCGATGTCAGTTCTACTTTTAATCAGTTTTTTAAGCCAACTTAAATGTTATGCTCTATATTGCAATGATTCTAGAAATGATAAAAACATCTCGCAGCCATCATTAAAATCAAAAGTTGACATATACGTTACAGTGTGTTTCTGAATATTTTCTTCACAGCCATACTTCAGGTCATGTCATTAAAACTTTCGTTTCGAACAAATACATTAAAGTCTTTTGTAGTTTGTCTTGATATAAATCAGGAAACTGATATAAGTAATAAAATATAAATATAAACTTAGACTGACATCAATAATAAAATATAAATATAAACTTAGACTGATATAAATAAGAAAATATAAATATAAACTCATACTGATATAAATGACAAAATATAAGTATAAACTCAGACTGATATAAATTATTGAAATCGCTTCTTGCACGATATCTGATACACCAAGCTTGCAGTTTTAATCTTCCAATTCATTACTAGCCTTCGCTTTTTGATACAAGCAACATATATCCGCGTTTCCCGGGTAAAATGATGATGTCTGGATTTCTACTCCAGTGGATTAATTTTTATCGCCGAGTTCGCAATTGCTCATATTTCGATGTAGCCCAACTGTTATTTCATTTGAGAAATACGATATTTTTGGAAAATATAAAAAAACAATACATCACTCATTAAACTCCCACGTGGTCGAAACAATTTTTTAAACGAAATAAAAATAACAAATTTCTAATTTCTCGTGCCAATTGCTTTTTCAATCTTTCATCTCGCAGAACAAAATTCGAGCAGTCTAATATATCACTTAAATTAATTCTTAATTAGAGAAAAATCATTTTTAGACCTACAGAGTCTTTTATATAAAATTCACAAAAATTTCTTCTTATAAAATTTACACATTTTCCAAAGCATGTTGGAAATTGCATAGAACCCGAGGTTGAGCGACGTAGTAATCAAAAAGTTAATTATTCGACTGACTCGTGATACGACGTATACGTTCACGAGATAGCTGAAGCATGAGCCATAAATAACGCTGTACCTCTCTAAGTATATACGTATTTGGTTTCGGTTTAGCGATGGGAAAATCTTTGGACGCGACGCAGGAGATGTTCGCTTTGGGTGTGTGCAACGTGTTTGGCTCGTTCGTGCGATCGATGCCGATTACGGGCTCTTTCACCAGGACCGCCGTCAATCACGCGTCCGGCGTGAAAACAACTTTCGGCGGTTTGTTCACAGGTGAGTCTTCCTTCGATCCTTTTCAACCAGCAGCGATTTCGATCAAACTCATGTGAGACATAGTTCCCAAAAAAATATTTGACACGTATTTTTTCTTACCGGTCAATATCCATTTTGAAGGGGTAAAAACACCCTTAATAATAATTTGAATTCTATTTTTATAATTGTAGCACCAATGGATAGTCGAGCTTCTTCTGATTAAAACGAGTCCAAACAAGGCGCAAATCGGACTATTTTTACCCGTTTAAAATAACTAACAAAATTCAGTATATGAATTTTCGAAATCGATAAAACTAGTCCGATTTGCGTCGTCTTTGGACTCATTTTAATCGGAACAATGCCAGCAATCCATTGGCGTTGCGTTTATGAAGATAAAGTGAAACTGATTGAAAATGGAATTTTCTTTGTTATATATTTGTTGTCTCCAGTCGCGGTATACCTTCGAAGTATCGAGTGCCGACCGTGGTGCTCGACGCACTGCGTCTATCCCGCTTACGCTCGTTATTTTTATTCTCTCACTTCGTCGAGTACTGCGGAGTCATTTCTTATAAAAACGACTATACCCTGTCCACTTAAATGTCATTACTGGCTCCGGAGTTTTTTGAAATTTAAGCGGGCATCACTACGCTCCGCGCGAAGCTCCGGAAACGAGGTGGATCTGAGGCAATCGTAGAAAGTCATTTCCGAAGGGTTCCCGGAAAATTGCTTCCACCCTCACCCTTCAAACGGTCGAGTTTTCTGTCATGGACCGCAAACTTTACGTTAATTACGTAGCTTCTTTTCATCGCAGGTTGTCTCGTGATGCTCGCGGCCGGTCTGTTGACCTCCACATTCCGTTTCATACCGAAAGCCACCCTAGCAGGCGTTATTATATGCGCCATGTACTACATGCTCGACTTCAAGACGTACGCCATGCTGTGGCGGGCGAAGAGTAAGTGTTCGACGTCGCATTACTTATGTAAATTGCGAGCGGTGAACGTGAGCGATGCCTTCGCCTCGAGAGCTGAGCAACTGTTTGTTCACTCTTTACGGGAGGAAAATTGGAACGGTTTGTAGTTCATTGCGGAGGCGCGGGGTGTGCTTATAGAGAGGCGCAGATGGGGTTTAGTAATTGTTTCGTCGGTTGATGTTTTTGCCTATGCTTTTCTTTATGTAAATTGTAAATGCAGAGAAAAATTGGATTGTTTATGACCTATTTTGGGTCCTCTTTTTCAAAAATATTGAGAAAGCACAGATGATTTTCTGAGAAATCGTTAGATTGATTTAGGTGAAATCGAGGTAGAGTATAGACAAACTGGGATCCTAATAAAAGTATTTTTATAAATTCTGTATTAATAGATTAATATTATTAATAATATCATAATTAATATTACGTAATACTGTATTACATAACTAATATAATTAATATTATTATATTATGATATAAATTATTATTAATATTACTAATTATTAATATTTAGTTGTAATATGAGATTGATTTATTAACATAACATTAATAATTTCTTAATAATGTTAATATATTAACTTTAAAAAATCTATATTAATATTATTAATTCGTTAATTCAATATATTAACATTATCAAAAAGCTACTAATTTTATTAATAAATTTCATATTATAATTAAACATTTTTACATCTAATACTGCTCGATAGTTTCAACGTTAACCTGAACCACGTCTCTTCCAGAGATAGACTTTCTCCTAATGCTGATCACCTTTCTGTTCTGCGTGTTCCTCAAGCTGGAATGGGGCATAATCATCGGTATAATCGTGAACATAGCAATGTTGCTCTACTTTTCGGCCAGACCGTCCGTTCACACCGAGATCCGCCAGGTAAACGAACTCAAACGAACTTCATCCATCTTCGTGTCGCGCATTCCTTTGAAAATGGGACTGATTCTGTCCAGGTCGACGGAGCTGAGACGGTAATATGCGTCACGCCGGAAGAAGCTGTTACGTTCCCGGCTGCAGAGAACTTCCGAACCGCTATAATGGAGTTATCCGAGAAGAACCCGTGTAACGTCCTATTGGACTGCAGAAACTTGAAGAGGATCGATGTCACGGTCGCAAAGGTAACCGCGATTCGCTCCTATTGTCTTCAACGTGTTGCTCGCCACAAGAATTTCGAGCATTTTGTAGAGAGTAACGGTTCCTGATATGGAACACTTGAATTGAAAAACTTGCCAAAGCAAAAGTTACGCGTTTCTTTCAATGAAACCTGCAGAATCACGAAGAAATTAATAAATGCTCATACTGTGGCGGTATTTTTTCCACTCCGCCAGTAGAGGGCTACCGATACCTAACAGCCTTTTCCGTTTCTGCTCAGTCCGACGCCTATTTGTATATGAATGGCTCTGTCGTTAAATTGGTTAACTCCACTTTCTGAATTTTTTAAGAGTTTATCGTTAAAACACTTCACTAGCTTTTGACTTTCCATAATAAAAATAAATTTCCTTACTACTGGGCGTGACATCACGAAATAAAAATTTTAATACCTATGCAAAACTTGCAGTAATAGTAAAAATTACATCAGAGTTATTTTATATATTTTACATATTCTTTAAATTAAAGTTACACCTGTAATAACGAAGTAAAATACGTTCTATAATGATTATTTCATTTTCTATTTAACGCGAAATTTTGAAAATCATTGTATAATTATCGTAAGTATCGTACTTTTCTCTACTTTCTGTTTTATAAAGTTAATCGATTTGGTAAGTGAGCCATTCAAATATACTATGTGTAAGACACGTGTCTACCAGAAAGCCTGAAGGACCCCATTAAAAAGCAATAAGATATTGTATTTTTTTATATGTAGTGATGTAAGTTAATCTCATTGAAAATCGCCAACTACAAGCCCAGTTTTTTTTAAATTAGCCGGTACACAATGTGTTAAGATTTAATTTTCTTTTCAACCGCTGCTCATGTCTTGTCCCGCAGAACTTGAAGTTGCTGGCGAACGATCTGCACCTCCGCGGCCAGAGCCTGACTTGTATTAACTGCCAAGATGGTGTCCTAGCGGTGCTCAGAACGATCGCACCCGATCTCTGCGGCAGCGACACGTGGGAACGATAAAACGATGGAAATGACACGTTTTAGGTGTTTTGTTCCCATTTGAATGAAAGTTAATCCTCTATAGGTTCGTGTGACTTTGAAGTCGCATACCAATATAAATATTGTTGATTTATTTCATTTTGCATAGCAAAGTGGCGAATAAAATGAAGTAATTAATTAACTTAAACTTTTATACGCTCAGGCCTGAAAGTTCAACGTCATTGTAATTTCAAAATTACAAGATACATTCATTTCAATACAATTATTGAAGTTATTGAATATATTGTTAATTTGTATTTACAGGTTGGTATTTGTTAATTTTATATTATATACAATCTTTTTATTGCGATGAAAAGAAATTCGGCCTATAGAGGGTTAAATTAAAATAGTACTTGATGTTAACGTGGAACCGACGATTGGTTGGAATAACTGGTTCGTAGATTTCCATGGGATTGATGAGAGTCTGCTCAAGTTATTCGCGATTTTTGTCGCGATGACGAGTTAATTGCTAACAAGGGAAGTTATCGAACCTGGGAATTCTGAAAATCATGAACCTTTGTGTGTAAGTAGATTAAGTCAATCCTAATACATCGCAATTCTTTTCTAAATTTTTCAAAATTTCAACATTTTTCTTTCTTTTCAATACAATAAAATTTTAATTTTAATTTTATTTTATTAAAATTTTATATTACAATTTAAAATTTTTTTGACTGTCTCTTACCGTTTTCAAGATAATCCATGGTAAAGAAAAATTTGCATTTTCTTCAAGGGATGGTTTCACCCCTTCAAAGTGAAACTCGACACGAGAAAAATTGCAATGTATTAGGCTTAACTTACTCTAGTTAGACACAAAGTTTCATAATATTATTTTGAATTTCCGGGTTCGATAACATCCCTTGTAATTTAAGCAACTAAAGCTATAAAAACGAAGGTCTTTTCCGAGAAGAGTATGATTTAACCCACTTGCGTCATACAACAGTATTAAATATGTTTAATGATAATAGCAAGTGATATGTAACACTTGAGTACAAATATTTGAAACAGTACAAATATCTAGAGGTTCCAGTGTTTCATGAATGACTGAAACGAAGAAATAACTATATAGATCGCAATAGTACGTAATAACCCAATGATGCAAATGGGTTAAGAAGTTGATCGATTTTCCAATTTTAGGAATTTGTTGAACTCACTTTTCAAGAGTTAAATTGTTCTTTTAGCAATCCTGCTAATAAAAGTGGTAACGATCAAAGAAAGTTGAACGATAGGTGTAAATGTATAATAGCGATGAAGTAACAGATTGTAAACATTATTAATATGATTAATACGTATTGATTCATCATTAACAGCTAAGGGAATCATGAACGCCTCAGCCCGTTCGAGTAAGTACTTTAATCATGAAATACAGCCCGAGTTCACAGGCCGCTAACGTTATCGAAAGATATGAAATACGAGTCGAGATTAGTGCTGGCCTGAAACGCGTTTAATCCATCACTCGCACATCCAATCTCCGATATTTTCTATTCTCCTTTTACCGAACTGTTTTCCTCATTTCCTCGTTCCGACGTTTCTGCAAATGCATTTAACGCGTCCCTTAATAACGTTCTTTGTGTCGCGCGATGCATCTGGGTTAGATGTTCCAGTGTTAACTCGCTAATTGGTCCCGTCCTCAAAATCTCACCCTGACCTAACTAAAGCTCTTCGAAGCTTGGCTACATTTGATTAAGGTTCGCGCGAAACTCGGTTACAAAAGTTTGGTTCACAAGCGAGATCTGATTCCGAGCTAATACGAGTTAAGCTGCTTAGATCTTGGGCGGGGTGCATCTGAATTATACTTGGAAAAAGTTAGGTTTCAATTAAGTTTGGGTACACTCAGTGAAATGTAAGTTAAACTAGATAAAACTCGATTAGATCTGAATTAAGTGCACTCAAAATTGATTGAATACGAGTTTAACGTGGTGGAACTCGGTTAGGTCTGAGTTACGCTTGGACAAACTGAGTTAAGTTTAAATTAAACTAGATTGGACCTGGCTAGGTCTGAATCAAGCTTAGTTGAAATTGATTAGGATTAAGCTTAGCCTAGTAAAACACAATTATATACTTACGAACTAGTCGAGGAGAAGCTTAGTCAAGTGTGAATCAAATGGGATAAAAGGCAGTTAGATTTGTGCAAACATAAAGTGAACGTTTTGGGCAAACAAAATCCAATTAGTTCCAAATTAAACTAGTCAAAACATGGTTAAACCTAAACCAGTCTCACTCAAAACTGACTAGCTCTAAGCTTAGCTCAGTAAAGTTAAATTCGCTCTGATTTAATCTTGCTACTCTAAGTTAGTCTTACGTCAATCGAAGTTAAATCTGCTGTACACTTCAACAGACCCAGTTAATTCTGAACAAGGTTTGACATACCTAGATAAATTTACTTTAAGCTTGTCCAAACTGGTTAGTTTCGTTTTAGTCTTCTCAGTTATGTCTCTAACGCACCTGGCACAAGAAGATAGAAGAAATTTGCAAGTGAATGAAGTAGAGCACACAATATACGGTAATATGTATATTTCATGGATGGACAGATAATGGTAAACGGATAAGACGGGTCCGTATAAGGATTAAGTTACATATTCCGTGGTGTATATAGAAGCTAAGCTGGTTGGCCGAAAATGTTGGTTATCATCCGACGTGGTCAGACGTTAGGGGTTCGTTGGGGTAGTTGGATCGATTCGATGGTTGGTCTCGACGTGTTTCTCCATCGTTTCGTTTTCCAGTAAGATCCAGTAACAATACTTGCAGTACGCTCGACGGTGAAACTTGACGTGTGTCGATAACGATAACAAAGTGGCAATCTGCTCGCGACAGAAATTGCACTCGAATCCCAAGGGTCGTTGCTCTGAAAGCTGTTGTTCGAAAACTTGCTTGGTCTGACTCGAAAAATATTACTTTCGTATTTCCCATTGATGGCCCCGGAACCGGCAGACCAACTCAGAAAACGGGGCAATAGGAAATAAGTGGAGTATAATATGAAATACAATTTTTCGATTAGAACTTTCTCTAGTTTTAGATTGATTCTTGCCGCCAACACCGTGCGCTGTTCATATAAGAACGGTAAGAAATGTTTGAGGCGTGTATTTCGTACGGAAGCTTTGAATTAATGTACAGTATGTAACTGTTTGTATGTTTGCCAAACTGTAAACTGAAGGAGAATGTGTTATTTTGTACTTAATACAGTGGATGGATATTTTGAGACTTGTGGAATAAATTGTTTAAAAATATTTCTGCTGTTTATTGTTTAAAGAATAGGCTACCTGAAGCGTGTATATTTTTCATGCAAAAGGGAATCGAACAAACCTCTGCTATTTTGAGAGTTCAAGTTTTGTTTTTAAAATATTGATAATTGTAGTTTCAATTTCCCCGTTTTCAACGCGTTTTTCATTTTATCTACTAATATTACGTAAATGTATTTTTCATAATTTTTCATATATGAACTTCTCGTAAACATGTCGTTTTATTATAAATTTGTGTAAGTATTATGTTCCATTTATATAAGAAATATAAATGTTCCGGGTAATTCTAAACTGTTAGGTCACCCAATATAAATCATATTTTGACATAGAAATTAATATTCAATTTTTTTTAATGTTTCATTTTCATTATATTTTTAGAAAGCAGCTGGTGATATTCTGAATATAATTTGTATATAAATAATAATGTAAATAAATTTGGATATGGTAAACAATAATTCGAATAAATTGCACTTACGTTCGTGGCATCTCCACCGCCGCCATTATCATTCTTCTCCGTGATTACCGTGTACTGAGGTGCTTTAGAGTCTGAGTTCTGTTTGCGACGTAATTGTAGTGGCAACACGACCGGATATTTCCCAGTTTCGAACTATAACCAAATTTTTTTCATTTCAACATCTTGCACGACACTAATTACTCGGAAACTGCAGGAACGTTCGAACCACTAAAAGTTACACCGCCATATTACCAGAGTCAAAACTTCCTACGCAAACTAATCTATTTTGCATATTAAATGACAATATACCTTTGACAAACAACACATAGAAAATCCAACGGTTTAATATATATTACACAATAAATATTACACAATTGTTCTTATAAATATTTCTTCCCGCGAGTTTCATAGTTGCGCGGTCGAACTTTTCAAGAATCGCACTGCGCATGTCGTCGACTTCAGTCTGTGCGTAGTTTTCGTGGAGTGCGCGTCGCTTCGAATGGGCTGGTAAGATTTTTCATTTTTGTGTTAAATTTTGTACGTAATTATCATAATATTGCATAATTTCGATAGTCGGAGAAACATAGAATATAAATTTAGTAAATTCCAACCAAATTTCATGTTAGTATACAAAATATTCCTTAAAAACTATCGTCGGGCAACGTGTGACGTCACGCGCAGTCGGTTTACCATAGCGACACCTTCGTTTCAAACATTCTGGGTATTCGATTCCATTTGTCTCACTCGTAATTGTTGATTACATTGCAAATTCAATTCTAAATTCGAGTATAAAGCATACTTGTCACGGATCTGATCAACTTTATTGCAAATTTTCGGAATTTATCTTATTTATTTGTCATATACTTTTCGCGGAAAATTCAATGTCATGGCGGTATAAGTGACTGTTGCGTCATTTTCGATTTAAATGTCTGCTCCATATAAATTCAACGCATAAATGTTACATAACATTAGAAACTATGATATTCCTTGAATCAAGGAAACATAATTCTTATATTTAATGCTTCACAATTACCTAGAACTTTCGAGCCAATAGTTTATTAGTATTCAATGTAATTCGGTGAAACTTTTTCGCGGTAAAACGCCGCGCCATCTTGCCTCGCCCAACCGAAGCCGTTACTTGTTTCAAATATTGGCGGTATTTAAATCGCGCGATTTTTCGTTGTCGAGTCTCGCGGTTCGCGTTAATTTGTTCGTTAATTCGTGGCCGAGGAACGATAATACCGTTGTCAGTGTGGTGGGAAAAAAAGTGACTAAAGAGACAATGGATGCGCCCGGGACTAACCTTTCTGAAACTTTGATTCGGCGGACGAATGTCGTAGACGAAATCCTTTTTGGACATCTTCTCGCTGATGTTGCGATTGCATCGCAGATTATACTTGGATGCATCCCCCGACATCGGACTCCTCGACGATTTCTTGCAGCTCTCGTGAGTGTTCATTACAATTTCTATCATTTGTTTATATCATTTGTTTCCGATGCTCATTTGCTTAAAGACGAAAAAAAAGAGATTTGCTGGTTTTTATTATGAAACGTATTTATTAATTTTTTTGTAATGATAAATTACAGATATCCCTTAAATTATTATTTACTTATTCATTATTATTATTCATAATAATAGCTTCGAAGATTTTGCCAGTAAAAACTATGTTCGTAGTAATTTTTGTTACGCGTTATTTTTTATTGAAAGATCGTTAATGCATGAGCCATAGTTGTCATTATGCGAGTTAGTGAACGTATTACGCGCAATAAAGAATAATGATGAGCTAAATTGTCCCTCTGTGCCTCGTAGAAACCCGCAAGTTGTTTTTCTTTTCGGAAAGGACAAAGCTTGCCTCGGGGTCCTTAGCTGCGCCATGACAGTGTCGAAAACAAAGAGATATTCGCGTAATATATACAGGCGATGTTTACGCGTGCCTCGGCCGTTCACGTTCAGCCACCGTGTTGATCGAGTAACTACGTTCAACAAATAAATAAATGTTTATTCTATGGCGCGCGATTAATTTCACATGACTAGAGAATCGTGGCATTGGGAAACTAGGAGACGACGTTATATCACATAGAGAAGATTCGTGTTTTGCAAATAAACGCAATAATGTTGTTATCTTTCTTTTAGTTATGCCCCTAGCGAATTCGTATAGAATTCAATGCCTTGTGCAAGCGCATGAACAGCAACATTTCGAAAGAACACAACAATAGATTACTCGTATCCACTCGTATTTAGGCCCTTCAGGTCAAAGTAGGCATTCCTCGAAATTGTTGACCCCTTCACGCGAGTCTAGTCAAGCAACGTATCATTAATTTTTGTATTTACATCGATAACACAGAAGCTATACCCTTGACACAAAAGAAATGATGAGGTCCTCGCAGTCGTGAGGCGAATAAAAATCAGTTTATTCTCAGAACGGTGATGACGATGATGATGAATCACTGCTCACATTGTTCAGATGCTATTCAAATGAGTGTTCAAGTTGTATTTTGATTCTCTATTGTTCCTTATCGAAGAATCCTGATGCAGCAGCAAGGGTGCTCTCTCTTGCCTAACCTCAGGAAGCGTAGCTAACTCTTGAACAGGGCTTCGCTGCCATATACTCTTAGTGGCCATCTCTTGATAACCTCTCCTCTGAATCTGCAATAGTAAACAAGTAAAATATTATATTCTTGCTATGGTGTGTGATGTATGAATAGGATTTTTTGAAGTAATATACTTGTCTGTGATGAAGTTCATGCAGGTACAATGTAGACAGAGACATATCGACAGCAGTTAATTCCACTGGTACGGACAAATCATTTGAAAAATCAGGACCTGAACCAAAGACAGAAGCGCCTATAGATTGGTTCGTCATTCCTTGTTGCAGTCCGGAAAGGAACCCTTTGTCGTTATATATTGGACCCTCCACTTTGCTTGAACCATGTCTAACAGGGTGCAACAAAATGTCTGATTTCATAATCATAGGTTCCTCCACCATAACCGATGCAGTTGAGGTGCCAGGTTGATTCATAAATACATTATTCACACTGGGCATACTCATTTGATTCACCATCGTACTACGAATTATGTTGGACACTATGTCATTGTACTGAAAGGATAGAAATATTTGAATTGATCTTATCGTTACTGTTGATTAAATGGTATTCAATACTCACCCCTGGTCCAAGACCTGACAAACTGTTCAGACTTGCTAACAGAGGATTAATTTCTCCAGGTACTCCTTGCACTTCTTTCTTGGCCCTTTCTCTGAGGGCAGTCACAAAATTCTTAGCTTCATTTGGTGGTTTCCATTCGGGATTGGTCAGAGTGAAATGTATGAGAGATAACTCCGTTTTCCCGTCTTCAGCCTGGGTGTACTGATTAGACACAGGAATCTGAAGCTTCTCCGGGTCCATACAGTAACGATTGTCATATCCTGCGGTGTGGTCTTCCAGAATTGGGCTCTGTGTCACTGTTTGCCACATGGGGTTACCATGCTTTCGAACGTCCATTTGCGCGAAACTGCACACATCACCCACTCCTGTGACTTCGATGGTAAAATTGCGATAAAAGTCAACGATGTCCAAGGCTCGTTGCCTCATGTGGAAGCACAAAATAAAAGGCGTCAGTAAGGGGGAAATTAATTCTTCTAAAAGGTAAATTGCACGGTACTGGAACAGCTGTGCCATCTGAGCTCTAGTCGTTTGGGTATGAGCATGGCCACGCCAGCTATCCGGCCTGTAGTGTGTATGCGCTAGGACAGCGGTTAAAAGTGTTTCCGGACACCAGACCAAATTCTCATCAGGTATAAATGCCCTGGCACCGGCCACCACAGCACCCAGTATTGTTATAGTAGTTAAGACGTGTTCCACGGTCAAAACATCCTCGTCGTACACGGTCAATATTAATAAAACTGCTAGTATACTTCCAGCCACGAAAGCGATGTTCTTTGCGATAACTGTCATAATGGGGGACGTAAATATACTCATGTAATTTGAAGCTGGACGGTATGCACGGTTCAACCGCGCATTCAATTCGTGATCGAGTTCGTTGAAATGGCGGAGATACAGTCGACCATATAAAGACCACATTCTTATGCCTAGTGTACCTGGTTCTCGTTTGATGATCTGTGATAAGAGCAGCATTTGCATCTGTCAGGATCATTGAAATTAAAATTTGATTTATAGACAAAGCAACCTACCTCTACATAATTAAAAAAAGAATATAGTATCTGCCATAGTAAGATCAAGGGACAGAGTACAAAGTTTGCTATTCCAACCCATAGAATGTGTTTAGACAAAGCTCTTGCAAGTTCTTGCCTCTTGTTAGATTTCTTATAATCTCCTTTCAAGTGCCAATTGTTTTCGAATGGCGACCAAGGTCCCCCTGAAACAGTTCATTGCAAGGAATTAATCTTATATTAAATTGATTCATACGAAAGTTTGGAAACTTACAAAATAGAAGCAATTCCATGTTATACTTTAATCCTCTGGTCATGAAAATAACTTCTCCTATGATAGGGACTTTGAGTCGTACGGGCAGCAAGGACTTGTTGATCATAGCCACCATGTAGTTTTTGAATCTTAGTATTCTATGATATATATCTAACTCCGTAAGCTCTCTTTTATGAATACACATCTCCTGCTCCTTTTGAACTTCCCTTACTCGCTTCTGTACCTCGTACCAGGTCAAATTATCCAAATCGCAGTCTTCGATTTTGAGAGCGGTGTTAAAGAACAATTTTATATCCCAGAACTGTGTGAGATGGTATAAAACTTTTACCGCTCTTAGAATCCAAAAGATCGCGGCTACCAAAATACAAATCCAAGTGATCAGACCCATGGACGCCGTACATTCCCCGGTAGACAGTATAGCGTCGTTTATCGACGTTTTGTGCGAGGTATTGTTCATTACTTTATCTCTGGAACATAAAAGAGTCGCGTTGAAATAATTAATCCTGTCCTCTTATTGCTCATACCAGATTTTTGGCACAGCCTTACTTAAATAATACGGAGTAGTCGATGCAATGAAAGAGAAAAGTGGAAAAGGTAACTACAAAAATGAATTGTCCTAGTTCGAGCCCTTCTTGCAACATCATACAAGTGAACCCATGCTTCTGGTGGTAGTGATACATCCTTGTAAAAAATGAATCCAGATCTTCTATGTGATTCCATCTGGCCTTGTTTCCTTCAGGTACCACATGTATCATCACGCCAGACTCTTGAGGTGTTTCCTCATGCTTGTCATCGTCTTCTCCATCGTCCTCCTCCCCCTCGTACGGCTCCATGCGTTGGTAGCTGCCATCCAATACCGTTGTCATCTAGAAGTACAAGATTTCATAGGACCCCTTAAAAGACACAATCCTGTAATGATGCCTTCTCAAGAGAAACAGAAAATTCATAATGCATCCACTTTAAGAACTAAATTGATCTTGTCTGAATGTTGTATATGTTAGAGAAAAGATATAATGAACTTAACAGGAGCATGCAATTCGATGTATTGTGTACGAAGTCCCGCAAGACAGAGCCTTACCGTTTTCGCTCGTCGGTTTGGCTCTACACAGGTAATGACAGTTTCTCGTTTCATTCTTTCATGTCATTAAGATTAATTAACTACCGGTTGACAGTTGCTCCGTAAGCATCTAAAATACAAAGTCAACCGCCAAATCAACGCTTTGACACAACATAACGTACAAATAGGTCAATCTATCAGTTACTCTACTATATGTTAATCAGTGTCGAAAGAAATCCAACTCTTGCAATCCATTCTCTTTGTCTACCACCCCCACCCATGTCGTTCTTATCTGCTGATCAAATCATGATTGCAATTATTTCTCAATACGTTGCGACCAAAACAAAATAGGGGGTTTATGCTGTTCGCGTTATCAATGAGCACCAAGTGAATCACAGTGGTGACT